AAATGGCTTTGTCGCATTAGATGCAACCCCTCTATTACTTTACTACAAATGGCCGGCAGTTTGATATTTTGATTGTTTGCTGGCAGCCTCAGGTATTTTCAGGCATTTTCAGGCATTTTCAGGCATTTTGATTAGTTGACACATTTTATGTGTCACTCCATCCAGCAAATGGGATATTTAAATCCTTGCTCAATCCCCACACACACCCTCACACACTCACATATCAAATTGTTGGCTAAATATAAAAGTGCCTGACAAAGCTGATTTGGTTTTTGGCCTTTACCTTGCGATGGCTTTCCATTTCCGTTTCCTGTCGAAACAAAAGCCAATTGTATATCTCAGCGAATGTGTGGGATTGTTGAGGATACATTTTAAGCACACTTTTAATTGTATAAAATATTGTCAAGTGATTTAACTTGTGGCAAATGTGATTTAACCCATTTGGTTAAAGGAAAAAGGGATAAAATGTACGTTTTTTGTTGGGGTTAAAAGTATTGTGAATTAAAAATTTTTAAAGCTGTCGTGTTTATTCGACTTTTATAGGCTTTGTATTATTTATAATGATTCTAAAAGGATTTAAGTATTAAATATGCACTTGTTTTGAGCTTAAGTTGTATTATATAAAAGTCAACTTATATTATTTAGATAAAATATCAGAGATATAAATAAAATTAATTGAAACACTTTTAATAATACATGAGTAATACCTAATAAATAAAATTTATAAAATACTAAAGTATAGTATTTTTAAGTGAAAGAACCTTAAAAAATTATAATTTGTAAAATAATTTAAATAAGAAACTGTTATATAATAATATATTTATTAAATTTCGGAAGATTATTAACAGACAGATTATTACAGAAAAAATTATTACTTAAAAAGAACTTTGAAAGTTTTGGAATTTTTAAATTAATAATTAATAACAATGTATACTAACTGAAATCTAGAAAAATGTTTATTACATGAACCAATATTTCCAAAAAAGAATTTGTATAAAGAGAAGAGTGAAATTCTTATATTTTATGATCGCTTTCCACAAAGAAATATCAAATTTTAACCCAAATATTCAATTAAATTTCTTAAAAATAGTAAACTAAATTCAAGACCCTGTGCTCCCTGCAAAATCTTTAGAATTCAACAAAACTACTACCTCTTGGCTACCAGAAAACCAATTCAGACAATTGGTAATTTATATTCGATATGGGCTAATGTTGCTCCTAGGGGAAATTTCCAAATATTTTGATGGGTTAAGTTCTGGTCAAAGCGAGGCTCAAGTTGGTCCGACTAGCTCACCATAAATTAAGCATATAGATAGATGTATGCTCAACTTCAGTTATCCTTCGAAACATATATAGAACACACACACACAGGGATGGATGGAAACAGGAGAGGAGCCTGTCTGACCAAACATTTTGTGTAGGACAATTTCTAAATGAATTTAATTTCCGGATTAGAATAGACATCTCATGCATGTGGAGGGAGGAGATGGGAGAGTAAATGCACTGGACAAACTGAACTATGAATGGGGAATCCTGCTAGTTACCATTCCCTCTCTCTGTCCATTTAATTTTCTCAATTTGTCAGTCAATACAGGTGAAAAATTATTATGGGCAATATTATAGAAAATGTTGATTAATAATATTAAGTAAGCTCGAAAAGCTTTATCTTGAAAGGAAATGTTTACGAGGATTATTAAGCAGCACTTTTAAAGGTGTTTTATGTTTAAGAAGCTGATTTTTTAAACCTTTAAAGAACATATGTTATGTTGTCTTATTTTCCTATAATTTAGTTACAAATATATATATTTTATTCGAAATTTAAAGGATTAATTGATTTTATTCACTTTTTGACGACAAGAAAGACAATTAGTATAAAGGAAAATAAGATTATGTTTAAGAAGCTCTTAATAAGTGATTTTTTAAAACTTTAAATAAATTATCTTTATGTTAAGTCTTATTTTCCTATAATTTAGTTATAAATATGTATATTTTATTAGAATTATAAAGGATTATTTGTTTTTATTAACTTTTTGACGACAAGAAAGGCAATTAATATAAGGGAAAAAGGAGTTATACTAAGGCATTGCTTTATCTCTTATCTTTTACCTTTCGTAACATAATAAAAACTCATCAAAATATTATTATACTTTAGTATATTGAATATTTTATCTTAAAATACAATTTTATTATTTATTTATTTAAAAATTGATCCCATGTTTCTATATTATTTTTCTTTTAGTGCTCATTGCTCATGGCAGCTTTTCCTCTTCAGATTCCTCCAATGCCTCAATGAACAATCACAACAAAAAAGGGGCGTGTGTGTGTGTTTTGTGTGTGGTAAAGGGGGCGTCAACTGGTGGGTGTGGCCGGTAAAGTGTTTCCAAAAATTTGCGGCTTTCTCTACGGATTTCTTTTTCTCCACCTGCTGTTTTTTGGGGGACTTTTGGTTTTTGTTTAAAATTTGCCAACAATTTTTGGCCAACAGATTCGATGAGAGTTGAGTTGAGAGGCAAAAGAAAGGAGGGGATCTCTTATGGAATCACTCCCCTTTTGTGAGCTTGATTTGAGCCCAAAGTCTGGTTATTAATGTAATTTGATTTGGCCAAAAGGAGAAGCAGACAAAAGCCAACGAGGCTTGGGGACTTGATGATGATGATGATAATAACGATATTGTTGATGATGTCCGTTCGTATAATGAAAAGATGGCAGCCCTTTCTAGTTAAGGATAGAAACCGAGAAGCTCCTTTAATGGAGGAGTAAATTTTTTAATAGAGTGTAAATTACCGGAAACACAATTAAAAATGTTCCTGGCAAAAAATAACTCACTCTCTCTTACTTTCGAACAGACAAAAGCTAAGCAAAACAAAAGGCAAAATCAAAATGGGGCCAGGACCTGGGGTTAAGGGGGAAGGTCTCGAAATAATGGGTTAAGGCTGTTGGCTTGGGGAGGAAAATCATTTAAGGCTAACTGCAGGTTCCTCAATCATCATCACAGGCAAAATGTGGGCGAACCCAAAAGAACGGCAATGGGTTAAGGACTCCCGACTCCCGGCTACTTAACACCCAACGCCCCCCCTTAATCGTTTTGGAATTTTCCAAGACGCTAAACGGTCGACAATGACGTTGACGTTGGCCTACGGCAGGCAAAAATTGTCGGAAACACCTTGTTTTTTGACTGCCATATTACCTACCCCCTCTGCCATTTTCCTACACGTTTTCCCAAACACTTTTCCACACCCACGGCTATTGTTGTTTTGCGCCCCCCAGCACATAATATGTTCATTGTTTATAAAACAACAGCGAAAAAAGGTCGCCGGCGTCTCTGATGAAGCTAATGTTTAAAGGAAAACATTAAGTTCTTGGGGCATAAAGGTGTTAAGGTGACGGAGAGTGGGTTAATAGTTGGGTCGGCTTGAGTTAAGAGAGAGTTTTATTTGGTTCTTTGAATAGAGAAATCAAGATCTTTAAAGAAATTTTGGGTCAAGTTTTTGAATATTATTAGACAATAACATTAACAAAAGCCTTAAAAAAAATTAATTCCATTGTAGAAATATTTAAATTAAATTAACACATATTATTTAAGTAGTTTTTATATGGAAAATATTTATAGTTAACAATCATGCAATTTTTCGCATTGGAAAAAACTTCTTAAATCTATTTATTATTCCTTGCTAACTTAGGCTCTCTTTGTATTTATTATTAAAAATATTTTTAATATATTTCCCTTAATATTTGTTAAATAATTATTATTTTACATCTATTTAAAATTTAATAGAAATTATTCAACCCTCGTTAGACCGAAACAAAAAGCCAACTTAAAGGCATCTCTTTCCGTTGCAGCAGTCTTTTGTTTTAAAACTGAATGAATGAATGAGAAAGAGATGAATGAATGAGTGACCCAAGCGGGGAAAATGGAAAATAGAAAAGAGAGAGAGTAGCTGGGGCAAGTTTAATATGAATTATTAGGTGCAGAAAAGTTTTATGATGCTGCTAAACCTGGTTAGAGACCTTTGTTAAGGTGGAAACAAGAACACAGCGGGTTATGCATTTTAAAGTCTTTGTTTTGAATACTCTTTCCTTAATTTTATAATAAAATTATCAGGAAAATAGGTAAATTTCTCATTTAAAATAAGCAATATTTATATTGTATTTAATCTTAATTTTCTTGGTATTAAATATATATTCATTTGTGAAGAATTTCTGTCCCAAAATATATATAAATTTGTCCTTAAAAGTCATTATACTTTATAAGTTAATGTATATACTAAGTTTAGCTTTAAATCTTATTAGTATAATGTAAGATTAAATATATATACAAATACTTAAAATGTCTTATTAAATTTGTTAAATTCTATTGTTTCCCTCCGACGGATATACCATATTTAAGGATATTGGGATACCCACAGCGTACAACTTAGTTAGGTCTTAACCTGCTCCGTGTATCTGTTAGATACAATTTGTTTTAATTGCACAAAGTAGTTGGCAACGCTGCATCGGGGCCAATTAATTCTCATCTAACTGGATCTCAGTTGGGATTTTGGGCCGGCGACAAACCTTCCGTTTGGTCGGGTCTCTTCCGTAAACGATTTATATTAGTTTTCTTAGTTTCAGAAAATATAATGAAGAGATGACTTAAGCATTTCTTGTAGAAACTATTCTTAAATTTTAATATTTAAATAATTTTTTAACTAAAAATAACTGCAAAAGTTGAAACCTATTGTAACTTTTGCCCTTAGTTCAATAACTTATCTAAAGTATCCATAAGTTTATTAAAAATATTTCCTTATCTTGATTGCTTTGTATATTGTAAGACTTGTAGAGTTTATTATTTAAGCTATGTCTTAGGTTTTTTGTTATAACTTATATTATCAGCAAAGCTATGAAATTAATATATGTATTTAGGAAAAAACCACTGTACTTATATCATTAAAAATACTTTCATTTAAGTTAACCTAATTTAAAAATATATTTTAATTCATATTCTCACAAAGATTTTCATAGATTTTGCAATGTTCTTCCAAGAGAGTTTTTATTTGGGTTTCTATAAATTGTACAAAATATTTGCGACTCCTTAGATAATCTCAAAGATTACTTAGTTTGCTGCCACAGCTTGGTCGTACTTTGGTGGCAAGGCTGACATCAGCTGAGGCTCCTGCATCTGCATCTGCATCTGCATTGGCATAGGTTGTTGCATCGGCTGTTGCATCTGCCAGTTGGTTGCACACTGGGCAGGTGTCACTGTAGTAGTCGTGGTCTGTACAGGCATGGCCACCTGTGGCATTACCACAATGCCCCTGGACATCATCCTGCGGCAGCGACGGCAAGGACGTCCCCAGGCCAAAGGATTGGCGTAGTAGAAGAGTCCCCGTCGATGGTAGCACTCGCACTGAACATTTATATTAACGTTGTTCATTGTTAATGATTTTTTTAGAGGTGTTTACTCTAAGAGTTTGCTTTGTTAACTGTCCAATTTCAGTTGGGTTTAATTTATATATTTATTTTTTGTGGGGACAGTGAGTGTGATAAGGTAATCCTTTGTACTTTTTATCGGTACATTGATCGATCAACGTTGATGGTAGTATCTGGTGTGTTGGCACGCTTGGTGATTCAATTTTGCCAGGGCTGGTTGACAATACTCTCTAATCTATAATTCTGGTTGAGTTGGTTGGCTCAGGTCGCTGATTCATGGATCTCCACATAACTGGGGGTTGCCTAGGGATAAGGTTCACTTTGTGACTCATTTCGGGACACTCGATCGATTCAGAGATATATGTGTTAGGGTAGATCGGGAGTTATAATCTATAGCTCCTGGCTATTGAGATTGATATTGTGCTTTGTCAATGGATCACTTGCTTAAAAGTCAGTACACTTGCACTGATAAGATTATCGGAAATTGTATTCAAACACGTGTCTTATAAAAAAAGGTAATGGAAGAACGTTATATGATATTATATAAGAGATATGTGGATAGAAAATATGAAAATATAAAAATAAGTTGATGGGAAAACGTTATTTGTTCTTATATAAGTAGTTATGTATATAGAAAAATAAATACATAATATGCATAAATTTAATTGCAGAATGAATTATTTTATATTAATACAATTGTTACGTTGTACATATGAAATATATATTATTTATGCATTTATTTGGTTCCTTCAAGTGTTCATAACACTTGATTGCTTATACAAATGTTTTAAAAAGTATTCTTGTAAAAACTTTATATTTTTATTTATTATAAAAAGGGGAGTTCCTTGAGCTGGATATAAATAAATGTAATAAAATAAATATAATTGTAGAATAAATATAAATATCTACATAAAAAGATTCAATATTAATTACAAAATATTTTACTCTAAATAAAAGTTTCGTATTTTTTTGATATTCTATACAATCTACATTTTTATATGGCTTAAAATCATGTTTAATGATAATTTCTCTATATATATTTATTTATAAAAGAAAACTCCCTAAAATATTTTCATAATTAAAGAAATCATATAACTTTTCATAATAATTTTTGCATTTATTATTAAGCAATTTCTTTAATGAGTTTAAATTGAATTTTTCTACATCAAAAGGCAAACATTAAAGGAACTAAATCATATCTAGTAGGTGGTGACCCTGATGGGCACCGAGGTCGTGGTGGTTGTGGTGGTGGCTTGAACAGGCATAGCCACCTGGGCAGGTGTAGCCTGTACTTGGGTGGGCACCACCACCACACTCCTGGACATCATCTTGCGGCACGGCGACAGGGACGTCCCCAGGCCAAGGGATTGGCGTAGTACAGGACTCCACGACTATGGTGGCACTCGGCACACTCCAGGCTAATGTTTACATCGGTCATTTTCCTCCTCGAATTTTTCTGCTGTTCTTCCTTCTTGAAGTTTTCTCGCTTTACTGACTTTTCCAATGGCTGTTTGCCACTTATTTATTTCGTTTAAATGTACCGCGAGTTCGATAAGGAAATCTTATGGATTCACTTATCGGTGTGCATTGATTGATCAAGTTTTGGGGTATCGACTGTTATCATGATTCACTTTTACCAGGGCTGGTTATATGCTGATTTTAAGGTTGACTCACTAAATTTATCTGGTTTTGGGGGTTGCCCCAAAGATCAGTTAATTTAGTATGAGTCATATTAAAATATAAAAAAAATTGATTAAATTATCAAAGAAAATTGTATTCTTATATTACAAATGAAATGTAATAAATAATACTCTTTTTTTTGTTGAATATAATATTTAAAGGGCTTCTAATAATGTACTTTTTGTAGACGTTTATATTATTTGGTATTAAAATCTTTCATAAGGATTTTACATACATTGTAATAACCGAGAACTAATCACTTTTGTTTCAGCTCGATTTATTCAGTACAATTATAAACTTATACTTACTTCTTACTTCTTGCTTGGAATCTGTATGAAGAATCTGTGGCAGAGTCTCAGGAACCACCGATAGTTAGGTGTGTTTTAAGAGATCCGGAGAACCAATCTTCTGCCTTTTGCTTCACGAGACTAAAGCTACTGATCGCTCATATTGAAGAACATCATTACACCTTGAATGCAACCCAAGAGAGATTGGACAGGATGGAGCTACAGCAGATTAATATACAAAATCATCTGGCAGATATCAAGAATACTCTAGATGTCATTAGGGAAAATCTAGAGCTTAAGGAAGTGGTTTAGACCATGAAAGTGGAAAGTTATTCCAGTATCTATTAATACAAGTGTTGTATTTTTGAAGATACATCACTATATGTGGGGTTCAGGTTTGTTAAACAAATAACTTATTTTCTTATTAGTCTAAAACCTCTTATTTCGTTCGAAAAACTCAAAGGCACATCTATTTTTTACTTATATAACAATTTTTATTTTATAAGAAATATATATAAATCAGTCTGGGTGAGAATATTCTCCCCTCTCAAGTTTAAGTACTGGAAATTCGATCTCCTTGTTCTTAGTACGAGGTGACAGCAATGGGCACCATTGTGGTTGTGGTGGTGGTGGCTCTTATGGCTGGCTGTGCCACCTGGGCTGGCACCACCATCATGGTCCTGGACATCATCCTTCGGCAGCGGCGACAAGGACGTCCCCAGGCCCAAGGACGAGCTGCGTAGAGCAATCCACGACGATGATAGCACTCGCACTGGACATTGATGTTTACATCGGCCATATTTCCTTGATTTTTGGAGCTGAAACTGCTTTCCTTAGCTTTCCTTGTTTGAATGGTTTTCCACCATTTATTTATTCGATTTATATACTGTTAGATTGAAAGTGATAAGGAAATCCCTCGATAGTCTTATCGGTCTATAGATCGATCAAGTGCAGTTGTCTCTGCTGTTTGACTGTGATTCATTTTTGTCAGGGTTGGTTAAATACATATTTATATTTTATGGTTAATTATTTAACTTGGGGACTTTGGTTGGGGTTGCCCCAAAAGTGAGTCATTGCGGGGACTTTTATTTTAATTTCTACAAGTATTTAAATAGGATAAAATTATATAGTAAAACTATTAAGTATTACTAAGTATACCAAGTAAAATATTGTTGAAATATAGAAGAGATCCTGATATTTTTTCATAAGGAATTTGAATTTAAAAATCCTGTTATACTTTCTTACAAATATATATTTAGTTTTAAATAATATTTTTTTTATATTTTTAACTAATTGATAAGTCTCTGCCTCTGCCAAAGGACATCAATCATTTCGGACATGTCAGATAGCCACCAAAATTGAACCAAAATTGGAAACAAGATAAATATAAAGAGAGAGAGAGAGAGAGAGAGAGAGAGAGAGAGGTAGAGAAATGGCAAGGAAAAACCTTAACCATTGTTTATGACATTCACCAGTAGTTAAATTTTTATATTTGCGCCATTAACATTCCAAATTAATGGCATATATGTGAATTTATTCAGCGTACAAGTGCAAGAGCCGACATTGAAAACCAATCATGTGAATTTCAATTAAAACCAAATGCACTTAACTTATTCAGGCAAACAACAGAATGGATTGCCAGTTACAGTGGTAATTCAGGAGAAAAACTTTTAAATATTTGTTCAAGAATGCAGAGTACCACTAGAACCACGTGGCGTATACGTAATTTTTGTGGAATATGATGATATTTGAGAAATTATGCTTAAAGTGAATACTAAGGTCAAACGAGTAATTTTTAATTGTTGTTAAGAATGGTTTTAAACATTTACGAATGTAGCTAAAGAATTCGGTAATGAAAGTACCTTCGTATAATAACGTGGCGTATGCGTAATATTTGCATAATTATTTTTAAATGTAAAAATATGTCTGATAAAACATACCTAGATTAGAAGAGTAGTTTTTAATTGTTGTACGTAAAGGTTTTTAATTATTTACGAATGTAGCAAAAGTATTCGAAAAATCAGCCACGGCCGTAAAACCACGTGGCGTATACGTAATATTTTTAGAAATTATTTGTAATGAGAAATATTTCTGCGAAAAAATTACATTTGTTAAAGAGTGGATTTTAATTGTTATAAGAGAGGGTTTTTTCATATTTACAAAGCAATGTAGCTTAAGAATGGGCAGGAGGAGCAGGTAACAACGAGGCGTATGAGTAATATTTGTAGTAAATATTATATTAAGGGACAAACTGTTTAAAAATACAACAATAACAATTAATTATATTTTGAAAAGACATTATTATATTTAACGTTAACTAAATATTATACTTTCTATTAAATATGGGCCAGTATTATTTAGGAAATTTTAAAAAGCAAAGTAGCCTTTGCATATTTCTTTTGATCTTTGCAGTACCAAGTTTGTAGTACGAAATTTGTACTATAAAGAAATTTTAAAAATTCTTTCACACAACATCTTAACATTATTTAAGTAATTAAGTTTTTTAATTACTTAAGTAGTATAGAACATAAAAACTTAGAAGAAGTGAACACTGCTTTTTTATTTTATTTTTTCTTTAATACAAAGTTTTAGTAAGCAACCCGAAGGGCTTAGGCTGATATTTAATACAGTTTTTGTAAATAAAATCCTTTTATTTTAATAAGTTGGACAAAAGCTTAATTTTCCAATTAAAAAAAATTGTTGATTTAAAGTTTGAGGTTCTGTATATATTTCTTTACAATATTTTAAATATTAAATTCTAGTGTAAGCTATTCCTTTCCAATGCAGTGAACACTGTTGGAAAATGTTCTTCCTTTTGTATTTTATATATATGTTTTTTTTTTTTTTGTAATTAGTTCACTCTTCCAATTCGGTAGTCAGAGTCGGAATTAAGTTACCACCTGGGCGGTGGGGGCTGCTGGACGATGATGACCTCCTCACGTGGCGGACGACGACCACCGATATTGAACTCGATGAACGGCCTTCCGGGACGGACCACATCGACCTCGACAATGGGCTGTGGCGGTGGCTGGTACACAGCAGCTGGAGTGATAACCTCCACCCTTGGTGGCGGTGGGCGGTAGCCACCACCCACTCCGATTTCGATCACTGGCCTGGGGATCCTTGGTGGGACAATGTCCACCTCAACAATGGGCCTGCCACCATGATGATGGTGATGATGATGATGGCGTCTTTCGTCCTCGTAGTAGGGCATCTTTCTCTCGTTGTTTAGGTTATCCAAAAAATAAGTGGTATCCTTGGTGGTGTAGCTGCTGCCTTTGACTCTTGAGTCGAACTGAAATCACTGTTCCACCTGGCAAACTATTTAAGGCTAACTTTATCGCTAATTAGGGGAATTTTCTAACTTTTGTTATGTATATTTTTGCACAGAAGCTTACTTTCTTATCTTGTCAGGTGGACTTAATGTCTTCTTTGATAAAAAAAATATTGATAAAACCCCTTTCCAGGCAGCGGGGGAGTGAGGTGTAAACAAAGGCAAATGAGCTTTTGCGTTTTTTTTTGGCTAAATTTCGTTAGTTCAAGGTTTATGTGAATCATACAATTTTTGTTTTGTTTAAGGGGAAGGACAAAACTTGATTTTAGGAGAATATTTCTTGAAATTGGTATGCATGATTCATAAAAAAATAGTATATTTCATTGGGTGACTAATGTTAAAATATATACAAATATATATATATTATATTCAGGGTATGTAGAGATATTTTCATTTTGTATCTTTATGCAAGGAATATAAACGAAGTTGCGAAACTTTATAGCTATTCCTTTAGGAATTGGAATAATTTTTAAGAATTTGGGAAACAATCTTTTCAATGTCTTTCCCAAAAGAAGCAGATTCAATCCCCTTTTAAATTTAATCTTGTCTCGCATGCATTTCAAAATAATAATAATACTATTACTATTCCAGTTTTCTCAAAATACTACAAAAATGACCCTTTTATAGATTTAATTTTAATAATGATCAAGATTTCCCAGCTTCTGAGATAATAATAGAATTAGAATGCTATAATTCTGAGATAATATTTCTATTTCTCTATCTTTCTTGGTTGTTATTTATAACTCCTTACGGTATGTCTGTATATAAACAATACGTTGTCTTTGTTATCATGTCAACTTACTATCTATTGCACCATTTTTTTGTCATTCCATGAACTTAAGATTAAAGCAGAATTATTTTGTTATTGTTTTGACATTGTTTATCGATAGAGTATAACCGATAGACAATTTATTTGTTGTTGAACTTGGAATACTCTTGTATTTTTAATTGAGTTCATGAATTGAAAGGAGAAATATACAATTATCAGAATACTTTTGATCAATTATATAGTTGTAATAATTCATTGTTGAATTATTAAAGCATACATTTATTGACATTTTTTAAAACACCAGTACAGTTTTATTTTTTAATTATATTTAAATATCTTTTGATATTTATGTTCCTCGCTATTGCTAGTCACCATTTTATATAGAATTATACACAGATTTATTGGAATACACCACTTTTATTGGAATACTCTACACTTTATTGTTGTTATAATATATATCTCATTGAACTTGAAACATTATAGTTGCGATTAAAGTTGAGTTCTTAAGTTAGTCTGTTGATATCTCATAGTTCGATCATCCTTCCAATCACCATTGGGGATACGGTGGGTTAGTGTAAGCCTGCTGATACTGATACTGATAGTCCTGATAGACCTGCTGTTGCTGCTGTGGATAGTATCCATTGGTGGTGGCCACCTGAACACCGCCATAGGGCTGAGGCATCACCTGGACCTGAGCACCACCCGGAACGTATGTGGCCGCTGGTGTTACGTAGACAATCTCGGTGGGCCGAGGCGGAGGCGGCGGCGGATAGTATGCGCCACCCCAAGCGGGAACCACATCAATCTCGATATTTGGACGACCATGGTGATGGCGAGCAGGATAGCCACATGGATCTTCATAGTACCGCATAGTGGATTCACAGACTGACAGTCCAAAAAGAACCCAACCAACCTCGGTAGCCAGCAACGCGTTGAACACTGGAACCCCGTAAACTCAACACGCTTCACTCTAACCGCACTGGAAGTCCACGGGGCTCCATCAATCAGGGTTTATGGGAATTATTCCAGCGATAACGAAGGCTCTTAGTCATCATCTGATAACACTTTCAGAGGGACAGTTGTGCATTCACAAGTGAATTGTATTGATCGGGTTTCGCTTTATTTCCTACCTCCATTGTTTACCCCCAAACTATCTGATCCCGAGCTTATCGGGGAGCTTGAGTGGCTCTTATCAGGTTAGATAGGCACGAAATGGTATGGCAAAAAGCGAGAAAAGTTGTAGGTTTTTGGCAGAGAAATGAGAGAATTTCATCTAGACAACAAGGAAAATAAATACAACAGGTGTTGCGATAATGAACGATGGAAATAAAGTAGTTAATATAGAAAACAAAGGAAGCTTCTTTGAATACAGTTTGCAAATTGTTGAAGAACACTGATCAGTATTTCATTTTTTCTGTTTAGTTCAAAATTTCAATATGTTATTTATGTATGACTTATATTTTGAAGATTAAATTGCTTTCAAGTGTTTATTTAAACTGATAGTTATGAAATAAGGTTCCATTTAGTCCTATAAACATTAAATATTTATAAAACATAATAGAATCTCAGCGGTTAAAGTCAAAATAATCATTTTCGAATAATAAATAATTATAATTATAATAAATAAATTATAATATTTATAAGCTATCTTTGGTTTCTAAATAAAAGAAAGCACATTTAATTTTTGGTTTACGAAAGATAGCAATTATTTATACCGTTTTGAAATGTTTTTTGACTGTATTTATTGTTAAATTTTCATTTAATATTTGAAATGAACTTTTTTCTTATTCTATTTTTATAATAAATTCATTTTATTGTAGTTCCACTTCAATATGGCAGCTTTCAGAACTAATTCCTCCTTTAATAGGGAATAGTTTTAGGTAGTTCCTCCTCAATATTGTGGATTGTGGTAGTGACTGCCACCGGGTGGTGGGGGAGGTGGTTGCTGATAGTATGGCGGTGGCGGCGCCTGTTGCACCACCATGACCGGTGGTGGTGGCGGCGGTGGCTGTTGAACCACCACAACCTGAGGTGGCGGACGATGATGGCGTCGGGGCCATGGTGGTGCAATTTGGACCTTGATCACTGGTCCACGACGATGTGGTGGTCCACCACAATGATCATGCGGCGGTGGCATTGTTGCTTAACTTTTTATTTAATTTAAAAGAGTAGCTAAGAAATCTATAGACGTCCAAATGGTTCGACTTATTGCTGGTAACTGAAGTTATTGCTCATGGGACTGACTAAGTAATAAAACAACCTAATATCGGCAGTCATAAAAATCTAAAAGCTCTGTTAAATTACTCATACGCAGTGTGTGTTTTTGGGGGATTAACGCGAGGAAATATCGATAAGTGAATATTTTTATCGATAGCTAAAAGTAAATTTAGTATTGGTTTTTTGTTGGAAAAAGCTTTTTCTGTAGAAAAGCTTCTGAATGATTTTTTAAGCCAAGGCATTTTAAGAATGATTCATAATTTTTAGGGGAAGTTTTCATTTGCTTGAGTAAAATTGTGAAACTTTGTATTTGGCAATAATAATTATAAACTTTGAAAGCAATTTAATCTTTAAAATATATCAATAACAAATTTATCAGTTACGAGAAAATACTGAACAGTGTTTCTTCTTTTTAATAACTTACTTAAATTTAGTTTACTCTGCATAATCTTTTCCCAATTCCTCCTAATATATTCAATTTAAAATCCATTATTCCCTTATTCCCTTTGTTTTGATTTTTTTCAACAAAAACATCGAATAACCGAAATGTAAATATTTTCGTCTGCTTTAAATTCCTTGAAACTCTCAAGCTTTAATCAACATAAACAATTCGTTGCAGACTTTGTCTTAGGAGTTAATTTTCTCAAATATCGCCCTGAAAAATTCCTGAATAATTGTTCACATATTTTCAATGAGTTTGTAAATATTTTGCAAACATTTGCACCTGTATTAGGCAAAGTTTGGCATACACGATTTGCCCCAAGGAGAAGTGACGTTGGCAAATATTAAATACATGGCCAGAAAAACATTATATTTCCGAAGGGAATCTTGAGTCCATCTCAATCTCAATCACCTGAGCAAACAAATGCAACATTTTTGATTTAGCCATCAATGTAGACAGTGTCTTAACAGGACTGCAGGCTTTTTTAGTCCTGGTTAATTGACTTGAGAAGCATTTTTACCCTTTGACTTGCACTTCAAAACAAGAAGGATAAAAGGTGTTGGAAATTTAAATATTCACAAATTTGAGATCGAATTTTGGGCAGTTTAAGGAATTAATAGTAAGGTCATTGCACTTTCGGATTTCATTGTATGTTTTATGTCACTTTTACCTGCACAAATACACACACTAAATGAAGATTTATAATCTCTTTTCACCAAGTATTTTTCCCCTTCAACCCGACTTCCTTTAATGCATATTTTAGGCCATGAAATGAACGCGAGTCTCGGCAAGATAAAACCGTCTTTCTGGCTCAAGTCAAAAACGACATCGAAATCAGAAACAGAATCAGGATATGCAACTGAAGCAGTCATCGGTGAATCGATAACTGTCAAAAAATAAGCTGGCAAGCGACAAGCCAGACATGGTTGTACAGGGAAAGGGGTCTAAAAAAGCAACTTGAAAAGGGGGGCGGCCTGTGGTTCCACAATTTAAATATTTATGGCGCTTCGCTTGGTGCACAAGAAACGGAACCGGGCACACGGCATAGCCAAAAAACCGTAACCGTAAACCTAGTCGAGAAACCAAGAACAGCAGCTATTCGAAAATTCTAGCACCCTCAGCAAAGACACTTGAAGAAAATTTAAAGAAATTTTAATAATTATATATATATATTTAAGATATTCAATCCAATTGAAAGGTTTTGTATTGAATTAAGATCAATGTTATATATAGAACATGTAACGTAAGAAAGGATTTAGACTTTCCATTTAAAAAGAACGATATAATGAATCTTTTATTACTTTGGAGCTAAAAAAAATATGTACATATATGTATATATATGTGATATGTAAAGACTAGCTATATTAAATCGATATTTTTATAATGCTATTTTTTTGGATAAAACAATATTTTTCAAATATCATAACTAACCCAAAAATGCATTAATTTCTATTCGGTTTATTTTTCTGTGCTACTTTTTATAGGGAAAACAAATCTGCATTCAGTT